ATTTCGACCAAAGGTTATGGAAGAGGAAGATTACTATAAGTCGAAGTCATGTGCATGTGTCATTATGAATGACTATGAATGCGATACAAACGTGAAGACCATCAATGAACAGTTATTCATTAACTTCATCACCCGACGAGGCGGTGTGAAGGTGAAGCTGAGGCTGTATCCACTTCGTGGATCGCTCTTGGTGGATCCGGATCCCGTTGAAGGTAGACTGAAGGTGAAGTCAGGCTGTTACCTGCGTCGTTGGTGCACCTTGACGGATCCGGATTCTCCTAGCCTCATTTCGGTCTTCGCAATGGCTGGAACTGACCTTGTAATCCCATCAGCGGCCAAAGGGATCAGCTTACTGAAGTCAACCCTGTCCCTCATTCAGGAGAAGAAACAAGAGCACAACCTTCCTGCTCCATTCTCAACCTATGAGGAGGCAAACTTCAGGGGTTACAAGGATAAGGACCTCGACGAATGGTTGGATCGAGTGAAGATTTCTCCTCCTGTCGTTGTGGCCTTAGCCTTTGTCATGGATAGAAGTGGCAGAGTATTCGTAACTCATGCAATCAGGTTGCTAATGAAGATGTTGTCAAAAGTGACCAATGAGAATGAGTTGAAGATGTCTGCCATCAGTTTCATCGACAAAGGGGCCCGATTATCAAAGTTGGTGGAAGGGGCCGCCAGAAACCCAGAGGAGAAGAGCATCATGCAGCTCTTGTGCACCTTTGAGTGTGCGATTAGAATAGATGAACTATGGGACACCCTCAAGGACCACTACACCGGGCAAAATAGTATGATCAACAAGGAGATCACGGTTAAGGGACTACGTGACAAGATTGCAAATACGAGTCCAACACACCTCGGATCCTTGAACCAAACATACCCTCCATATGGAAGTTCATGTTACCAAATCCGGAAGAGGACGAACTTCGAGGAGATTGCCCGTCGAAAGTGGGAAAAATGGTCATTTGAAGTGATGCAACGAGAGGCACCCGCCCCGGACGAAGTTGAAGACCGCATCAAATTCCTGGTCAACATCATGTACGAGGAGAGCTACAGCTTAGGCTATGCGCTCCGTCGTCACAATGCCAGGGCGGCAAGCAGCCAGGGTAAGACCATCATCGTCCAGAATGTCCTGGAAGACTGGATGTCGATGAACTATGATCTCAGCTTGGAGCGGACGGCGGCCGTCGTCCATTTACAAACCATCCTCATGGTCTCCAAGATGCTACATGAGTGGATGATGCGACTGGAAAACTTCAAATCCATGTCGCACCTGAGCGGGATCATCAAGGCCGATCTGGTCAGAATGAAGCAGGCCATTGACCTCCGCGACGACATATGGGAGTTGGGGGGCTACAACATCGAGAGGGCCGATCAGGGCATGTTCGAGGAGGTGGAGAAACGAAACAGGACGTTTTCCTGTATTCGCGACTATGTGACGACCACTGCCACCACACAGATGGGCCAAGGGGCCACAGAGGTCTCCCACATCGATGGCTGGGACATTCCGCTGATGCCGAAAGACGGCAGAAACCCTCCAAGTCAACCGGATCATCCAGGTTGGGATCCTTCACCTATCAGAATGATGAATGACAAGCAACAGAGGGAAGCCGATGCGCAGCGGGCACAACAGCAACAACAACAGACTGGGCCTAGTAGTTCCACCTTCGGTGGACACGATGGTTCCAGCTCTGCAGCTGGGAGTGCACCACCACCAAAAGCACCACCATCGAAGGCAAGGCCATCTACACCTCCCGCGAGAAAGGACTGGGTGATTCCTCGGGTACCAAACGGATATCTTTTCAGGACATCCTCGATGCCCGATCAAAGGAACTCAGAGTTCATCACATCGGCATGGATGGACGAGCGGGATCACTTCCTACTATCAATCATCCAAGGCCCAGCAGCTCAAGCTGCCAGCACTTCAGGTTCAGCACCTTGGGCACAATATTTGAGGAGAGTGACCGCATATGCTTGCATGGTCTTCGGAATCTGCAATCCGGCGGTCGTGACGGAGGACACCGCGTCCACCATCTCCGAGAAGGACTGGCTGAGGTGCTACAGCCACGTCGTCCGCAAGTACATGCTGACGCGGACAGGGTGCTATTTGTCGACTGCAGGAATGCTCATGATGCTAGGGCATCACGACGTGAATGTCGCCAACCAATCTGACTTGGGCCGCATCAAGAAGATGATCACCAACCCACTCGCTTGCAGGATCATCGAAGCACCAAACGGTCCAAGAGACCATGACATGTTGGCAGGTGACTTCAGGGCTGGAACTACCATCCTTATCACCGACCTGATGTTCCGCGTGGGAACCCAAAGTGGGACGCATGGCATCCAAATGGGATTAGCTGACATGGGATGGGAAAGTGTTGAAGTATTCAAGATCCATGATTCCGAAGCAGAACGACCACTTCAACAATTCCTTGACACGCTTGACAAGGTCAAGCAACATCTCAGTACTGATGCCGTCGACGATGGCCAGATTACTGTTCACCTTTGGTTGTCATTGCAATTCCTTCCCCAGACCCTCAAAGCATCCATTTTTTGGATCGCTGCAAGAAGCCTTAAAAAATGGATCGCTGCCATCCATTTTTTGGATCGCTGCAGCTATTGTGAGAGCATCTGCACATTGCTGTTCAACACATATTGCTGTGTTTTCAGCATGGTGAAGCATCAGTTTCAGGAGCTTGAGCCTGTACATGACCATTGACCACAGTATATGCTGTGGTCAAACGCTTTAATGGGAGAAAAAAATAGTAGGTAGATTGGTAGTGGATAGATAGATGGGCGTAGACTTGGGGTAGATAGATACTGATAGGCAGAGGGCAGATATAGGAAGCAGCAAAGAAAGGTAGATAGATTTAGAAAGACAGATCAAAAGATGAAGGCGCAAAGAGATATAGAGACAGAGATTATCTCTATAAATATGTATACATATGTATATATATATATAACATACATACTGGATATATATATATATATATACCACAAAAAACATTTTAAAAAAAAACGCTTTGGCACACACACACACATCAACAAACGCTGGAGAAGCGAACTCTTGACTCTTGACTAACCACTTCCAGAAACCATTAGAAAGTCAAGGCCAAAATGGCCCCAGAAAAAATCATGAAAAGGAGCCTGTAGACACAACACGTTTTGTACTTGACTTGCCAGCGGTTTCCATCAAATCTTAACTCTTGATGCAGTGGCCGGTTTTTTTTCTCGGGTGCCGCTCTGTGCGCGCGCAAGTTTCTAAAGGACATTGATTGTCCCAGCTAAGATGTTCATAGTTCGGTCGATGCCATCCACCACTTTGACATCCTCAAAAGGGCCGGGCCGAGAAGAACACAATTGCGGAAACCAATGTTTGGGTATTTAACGGACCTTTAAAAAAAAAAGTATGAAAACCCAACCATGGATCTTCTTGCGTAGGAGGATTCCTGAAGCAGCGGGCCCAGATTGATTTGTAGTCTCCATCGGGGCGTTTGGTGAATGACCCCCACCCATGTTCTTGTGCGCGCTCCCATACGTCAATCACAGCTCGGCAAAATTGAGGCGTATAAACTCCAGTTTCAGCCAATTGTTTTCCCCCAGTGACTTGAACTTTTCGCTTGGATTTCGAAAATGTTTTGGTGTAGAACACCTTCTTGGACTCCTTGTGCTTGTAAGATGCCCGGTACTTCAGTGCTGTTTTCATCAACCTTGGTTTGGCTTCGGCATATCAGCGCGCAAATGCACAGACTGGACACAGACAACACACACCCCCAAAAGACAATCAAAATGAAATTGTTTTGAACGTATCTGAGAAACTTGTTTCGGTTTTTCCATAGGTGCCGGATTGGGATCATTTTCATGAGGTCACGGGTGAGCATCCTGCTCCATGCATCTTCCATTTTTCGGGACCATTTTCCCTGAAGGGGAGTGACCAAATCTGGGATAAGCGTCAACATCAAAACACTCGGTTTAGGCAGTTTGTGGCCAAAATTTTTCATCCAAGTGTGCACTCGGGTCATCTGGAGGATATCAAGTAGCTCAGCAAGTTCTGGAAGTAACCACAGTAGCGACGAACCAGGCTGTTCTATCCTTATAATTGACTTGGGACGAAGCTCCAAATACGATGGATGATGGAATAACTACCCCAAAAAAGGCGGCTTCAAACTAAACACTTACAAAATGCATGGGAAAAACATGGAAAAAACATCTTGTAGCTTGGATTCAGTATAAAAACCGCTCTTGAATGAGCTACAGCCAGAAGGACTACCAGGTTCACGATGATTTGATTGGCCGCCCTGATCTTGCGCAGGGCTTGGGCTCCATACGGCAGAAAACATGACCTTTTGTGGAAAGCAGAGCTGATGAAAACGAACAAGCCGCATGGTGGCCCACAGGTCGCCCAGCCACCCAGCACCTCAGTGATATGGCAGTCACAGAGCAACATCTCTTTTTTTTGGATTTCGAGAAACCCTTGTCGTCAAAACCCTCGGTTCCCTTGTTTTGGGTGGCCCCATCAAATATTTTGGATTCCCATTTTGAAAGTTCAATTTTCAAACAAAGGCACCACAGACAGCAAGCAGTCTAAGATGTATCGGAAACCAATCTTGCTCAAGATATCGTGGTTCACCGGATCTTCCAACACGTCAATGGTCATGCTGGAATAGTTTTGGTCTTGACACTGAGCACAGAAGTTTCCCTTTCCAGCAAAAAGGTCGATACTTTCAAGGGTACGAACATTGTTCTTATCAGCATCCCAAGACACCACCCTTTTCTCAATATCATCTAGATCTTGAGATGCATCATAAAATCCATCTTCAACGGAAACTTTTCGGGAAGCCATGATTCGGCCCGTATGGAAACGGCGCAGATGCCGCTTGAGGCAAGGAGCATCGGGAGTATGGGGCTGTCAGCTGCGCAAACATGTCTGCACTAACCCCATGTCTCAATGATATGGTTTTTGAAGAGAATGCTTCATCCCATTTTGGAGGCAGTCACTCAGCTTAGATTTTTTTGAAGGTATTTCCTGCTAAGACATAGTCATGGCTCTTCTTATGCAAAGCTTGGCACTTCCAATGAATTACATTGGCCCAAGTTCTTCGGTGACACGATCGTGCAATTCGGGCAATAAGCCCATTGAAACTTTCATCCCTGTAGGTACTGTACTTCTTAGGGTTTCCCTTGTACAGACTCCGTTGGATCAAGTGAAACATAAAATGGCATTTGGGTGTCAATGGCCCTTCAGCTTTGCTGAAAAAGGACAAAAACCGAGAATAAGCCCCCAAAGCCTCTTGACTTTGTGAACGGGATAAAGTTCGATTCTCGCCAGAAAAAATTTGATCCAATTTTTCGGCTGCCTTTGCAGCTTCCAAAAGAAATTTCCCTCGCCTAGCTTTCTCATGGGGCAACTTTTCCTCAAAAGATGGGATGCTTTTCTCCAACAGGTGCCGCACGAAGAGAGCCAAGCCGTGAGATTCTGCTGCCTTCGCATGGAGGCTGGGACTATCGGTTGTCCCGAGCATCGTGAGGGTCAAGTTCCAGACCTCAACACAAATGCGGTAAAACATGGCAAATCCAAACTTGTATATTGGCTAGTTTGTGCAACATGGTGTTTTAAAACGTTGGGAAACATAGTAGCTGTTGAGTAAACCAAGAAACTTCTGAAGATTTTCCAACCCATGAAGGGTCCTTTTTCTGATCCCGGTAAAACTGGAAGAGTTCCGCTTTGATTGCAAATAGGCTGAGCTTACGTTTTTCTGCAGCATCCAATCCAGTTGAAGTGGGAGCCCATAAGCCAGAATCGAGACAGAAGTTGAAAGCCAAACTCACTAGCAATTGAAGAGGCCCCAAGTGCCAGCTGTGCATGATATCTAGAGACCACATCTCCAAACCAACCCCTGAAAGTTGTAGGAGAGGGCAATCATGCACAAGGCGTGCATCATCAGCACCTACCCACCACGAAGTTGTAAAAGGGGGTGTCAAGAACTCAAATTGCCCAACATCTGGAATTTCTGCCGTTGGCAAAAGGCGGCTACCTTTCTTCAGCCCAAGCGTGGGGAAATCGGAGACCAAGCCACGGCCTCGGAATTTCTTCTTGTAGACCAACTTCCGGTAGAGCTGGGATCTCATGTCAATGGATTCGATGCGAACAACCTGAAGGGCTCAAGTTGGAATGTTTGGATAACCCAGTTTATGTGGGAAACATGGGACACCATCAACATAGAAACATTCCAATAAATCAACCAGGAAGTGGGTATCTTATATCATCCCAAACAACTGTGTGAAATATATCTATCTATCTATCTATCTATCTCTCTCTCTCTCTCTCTAACAATAAACCCGGATTTAAGGGATGGTGCATTCTTGATAGAGGGTAACCAAAAGAGATTTTTTGCGCAGTTTGTTGCAGAGGAACTTTGACAAAGTTCCCCAAATCTGTCAAGTAATCGTTGGTCCCATAGCCAGTGAAAGGTGAAGAATCTAAAGTCCAGTCACTGATGTTGGGTTGACACAGTTTTTCCTGGTTCACTCTGCACAAAGGGCAAGGGTGATGTTTGTGGCTCCAGTATCGCAACCCAAAAACTTGAAGGAACGCAGGCCAATCTCCCATGATGTCAAGCACACAGTATCGAACAGGGCCGGTCTCCAATTTTTTCAAGTCATCGACCCATGCTTGTAACATAGGGCTCAAGCTGCACCACCCCCTGCACCCACATTGGCAAAGTTCTTCGGTACCTTAGCAGCACAAGGGTGCCCCAAAGTAATACCACTTCATGTCAAACAAATGGTTTATTTTGGAAAATAACCCTGCTGGTTTTTTTGGATTACTGTAAATTGGTCACTACACAATCCCATGCAAGCCTAAGTTGCGTAGCAAGAATGATAAGAACTTCTGGGAAGTCAGTAGGTCAGTGACATAGAATGCCATGAAGGAATCATTCTTGGTGTAGGCCACCCCATCCCAATAAAGTGCAATAGGCCGGACTTTGGTTCTGATGTGGCTCGCTCTGGCAGCTTGCACAACTGGGTGATGGTTGTAATTGTCTAGGCCCCCCACCACTTTGCAAAAGTGACTTTCAGAAACATTATGAACCATTTCGTCAGTGATGTAGTCGTTGAAAGCCGTGGAAGGTAAATACATCGGGATAGCCTCCACAGTACGACAGGAATCTCGTTTTCTGTGAACTGGGCATTGTATGTGGGTCATGCCAACCTCGGGGAAGATCTGCCCAGCATGGTTTCGAACATGCCGGTGACCGTTCTTTGAGGCCGACTTCGGATCCAAAGCCAGATCTTCCAGCCCCAGGCCACCAGCCCGAGTGATATAGTGGGCAAGGGTTGCTACTTCAGAACCACTCATTCCTTCTGCAGCAAATTTCTCTAGCAGATATTGACGGAGTTCTTGGCCCCCTTTTTTTTGGCTTCTCCCCCAGGAACAGTCTCATCTTGGCTGGCTCGACTAATTTGACGTGCTTGCTTGAACATGTCTTTGGGCTGCATGACATGCATTGTTGAACCGCATGCAACAAGTGTGATTGCATTAACTTTCAGAAACTCTGTATACATTTGCTGTTGCTTGCGGGCCCCAAATTGCCAGCTGTTTTTTGACGGACCCCAAACTGCCAGCCGCGTTGTGTCAACTTTGCCAATACACCCCACGGGTATATAGATAGAACTATTCAGGTGCTTTCACCTGATCCAGTAAAGATCTGTGTCGGGCCTTTGGGAAAGAATGGAGCTTATTGGAATCTTTTGTGAGATGAACAAGTTTATGGGTTTCAGGTCACCACAGATTATCCCCTAAGATCACAGCTGTATAGCTACTCATAGCTATCCACTTTTGCGGCCCTTCCTCTTGGAAGTAATCTCCTTGGGAGCAATCGAAGCCTGGGCCATGTTGTGAACCTTCGTAGCGATGGAATTCAACCTGGCGGGTTCCAGATCGACTTTGCAAAAGTGAATTAGGATCGGCATGTTTACCCTAAAAATCAAAAACTTTAAGACAAAATGTTCGTAGGTAAAAAGCCAAGGAGCGTAGAGCCAATGCTATAGCAGCGGTCAACGAAGAGGGTCAGCATAGCCTCATAGCGATTGCCGTAGCTCTTCTTCAACGACTTGAAGCCACCCTTGCCGAGAATGTTGAGTTTCAATTCATCGACGAAGTCGGTGAGCTCATCTCCATCTGCCGGCTTCAGGGCTTCCTTGAAGCGGGCCATGTTCTGATGGAAGTCTTCCAAGAAAGCACGTGCCCATTTCCATTCGGAGGGCAGCTCGTCCCCTGAGCCTGCAACTTTTTCCATGACTTGCTGGCTCATTTGCAAGAACTGCAAAATCTCTTTGGCGCTGGCCTCTGCAGTCTGAATCCCGGACAATTCTTTCTTTGCCTTTGTCCTCGGTGTCTTGCGAGTGCTTTGTTCCTGAGACTCTTGCTCCTTGCCTCTGCCACGTTTGTTCTTCCCCTTCCCCTTGCTCTTCTCCGGCTCCGTGGCTGCATTTTCACTTGGAACTGCTGCTGCTGCCTGTGGGGTTGCAGGTGGCTTGGGAGTGGAGTCAATGCCGGGAACAACCACATTCATCTCTGCCCACCCAACCAGCCCTGCTGGCGAAGATTGCACTGTCTCGAGAGTGACGGCTTCGACAGCGAGTCCATTGTAGATGGCGTACTTGCGGATAGCCTTGCACTTGTAGCTCTCAGTCTCGTAGGTGCCACTGCCGTCACATTTTTCTGCCACTTCCTTCCATGCTTCCTCCTCGGTTTTTGAAACAAGTTTCTCCACCAGCAAGTAGTTCTCAGCATCGGTCCATGTGTTGTGCATGACAAAGATCTCCTGCAGGGAGGAGGGAAAAAGACAAGTTGAGTGCATTTGGAAAAAGCTACTTTTGACCTTGTCCTTTTTTTTTAAGGTTTGGCATTTGGGAGATTCGACAAAACCAAACAGGGTCCTTGAACTTGAAGCAGTTCTTGATGTAGTTCTCAGCCTGCCGCACTGCTTCTGGAATCCCAACCCCCCCGTAGTGGGCTTCGAGCTGTAGCTTGTTCTTCCACGTCCCCACCTCCTCCTGTTTGGTCTTGGTGGAGATAGTGTGGATCCTCTTTGTGCTGATGAAGTCAAAGTTCTTGTGCATGGCCCAAGACTGTCGAAACTTCAGCTTCAAGTTGTCGAAAAGCCACTTGTAGGACTCGGAAGCCTTTGGGTGCTTCTTGATCTGGCGGTACATTTGGTTCCCCATCGGCCCTCGGGCTTTGCAATCCATTCCATGGCATGCCCATCCTTCCACCCCCAGATCACTGTTCACAAGCATCTCCTCAGTAACTGCAGAAGGTTCCAAACCATTGTGTTTGGCATACATGTCCTTTGCACGGGCTAGTGATGGCTGTAGCGAAGCAGGTTGATCAGGAAGAGGTTGCCCCGAAGGAGGCTGATCACGAAGAGGTTGCTCATCCACCTTGCTAAAGTGATAAACTTTTCGGGTGGGGCTACTTTCCAAAAGAAAATTGCTTTTGGGCTGAAGGATTTGTTCTATTTTGTTTGTACCCCGACGTGGCCTGCTCCATCCCGGCTGCAGGCGCATCTGCCGCTGCAGCGCTAGGCTCCGGCACTGGTGGAACTTCGGCCATGGTTGGGAAAAGTTGCGCAAATCTTCCCTCAAAGTTGGAATCTGAACCCAAAATGCTCAAAAGTTGGAATCCAAATTTCAGCCCCGACCCCTCATCGGTGGCTCATCGCTCTAGTTTTGGGGGGGTGTCGGGAGGCTCATCGGTACACCCTTTTTATATTTCAATTGGAAACCACCAAATTTTTACGACCCTCATCGGAGGCTCATCGCTAAAATCTTGAACCCCCCTCATCGATGGCTCATCGCCTCATTTCTGGGGGGGGCGTCGCTAGGCTCATCGGTACATCCCCTTCATAATGTATTCTTTCGAGGCCTATGTTAAAAGAAGGCTCATCGGAGGCTCATCGGTGATATCAGCAGTATGGCTCATCGACCCCTCATCGAACCTATTTTTTAAAGTTCTCTGCAAAAAAGTATTAACACATATGTTTGTGCACATGTAAACTACGTGGAAACATTTTTCGAAATCAAATTGATTGCGTCCATAATGTGAAATGCCCATTCTAAAGGGTGGTACCCCATAGATCCCACAAAAAGCCTTTTGGATGCTTGAGTTGAAATATGAACATGTTGGACGCAACAACTTCGACGCCTTTTTAATGGGCAATAAAATCCACTAATCCCAAAATAGAATTTCGATTTCCAGGCGTGGCATGGGGTTTGCCTGGAAATTCTTGTGACCAGCTAAACCCATTGCGCCAGGTTGAAAGTTCCGGGGTTCCCATCACTTCCCAAGGCTCGGTCAATCCCGTGCAGGGGAAACGCTTCAAACAAATACCTTACAGGTGTAACACAAATGTTTGTGGAAACTATTGTTTTCAAACTTTGAAAAGATTGCTGTTCGAAACTCTCAGGTATGGGGTCCTTGCGAACCCACCAATTTGAATTGTAATACTCACCTTGGCATGACACTAGCAAATTTGTACATCTATATAACTCTTTTCAATCTGAAATTTGAGGGGAAAGACACAGTAGGTTGCTAAGCCACTTCACATATGTCGATTCATGCGGGCCCGAACCCTCTGCAATCCAATTAATGTGGTAAAGTTGGGAGCAAACCATCCCGGTAACCAGCCTTTTCGGGGTCAACATACCATCCCAAAAAGGGGGTTTATTTTAAACCCCTTTTTTAACTTGTTAATGTTGGAGTTTTCCACATTACTAATAGTTGGGAAGTGCCGGCCCCACAAACCAAATTTCTGCCGCTGTTTGTTTTCTGACCCGGTAATTGTACTTGTCCATGGGTGGCTTCCCACCAAAGAAGCTTTGCAAAAACCCCACCAAGGGCTGGCCATCACCAACAAAAGCAGAAAGCCGTCAAGAAGTGTCAGTTTGATGTGTGTAAATTTGGATTCAATCTTTTGTCCCCTATCAATGAGCCTTGGCCAACCTTTTCTTGGGGGAATGTAACATGTAGGCACACTGGGTTCACGAAGTGCTCTCCTCATCGAGCTGCGTTTCTGCCTGGCTAGGATCTCGTGATGCTTTCCGTTCAACAACAGGACCGCGCTGAGGGAGTCCTCACCAGCGGGCAATGTGATCGGGTGATTTGAAACTTTGGGGATCATAGCATTCCCCCCAAAAAAAGATTATGTTTCAACTCTTTCCCAGTTCCCAAGTTCGGAAATATAGGAAAAACGTTTGTGGGTTCCCACAACAAAGATCTTGGTAATAAGTAATAGGGTAGAATGTCCACTGGGCTCGTATTTCTTTTTTCAGGGGGAAGCCTGTTTCAAAGCGCACATATATAATATGCATCCTATATGAACTAAATATCACAATATATGTATATAGATATAGATAGATGTAGATAGATATAGATAGATGTAGATAGATATAGATAGATATAGGTAGGTGTAAATAGATATAGATAGATATAGGTACATACAGATAGATATAGGTAGATACAGATAGATACAGATAGATAGAGAAATCTATAGATAGACATAGTAGATATAGCTAGATACCGATAGGTATAGATGAATATAGATAGTTGTAGGTAGATGTAGATAGACATAGATATCTCAGAATAGGGGTGCCAAAACTGAATGCCCCAAGCCCCTTTTTTCTTACTAAAAAAAATGTGCTTGGGGAATTCCTATTTTGAGACATTCCCATATAAATAGATGAAGATAGATATAGACAGATTTAAATATATATATATATAATGATACAGATAGATACAGATCGATACAGACAGATCAAGATAGATATAGATACATTTAAAAAAGAGCCATACACATATAGATAGATATAGATATAGATATAGATATAGATATAGATATAGATAGATAGATATTGATAGATATAGATAGATAGATATTGATAGTTATAGATGGATATAGATGGGTATAGATAGATATAGATAGATATATACGCATTCATGTTTGTATATTCTTCTGAAGCACCCATGACACAAACAAATTTGGGAGGAACCAAACCCAATCAAACATTGGGCCAATCTAAAATAACCTTTTTTCGAATATGAAACCCATTGATTTTCAGATTTACAAAAATCGTTGGAAATAGCGGCACTGGCCAGGCAGCATATGTACAAGCTAAGAAACGGTCAGGCGACAGGTGTCCAGGAAGTTCAATATCAGGAAGCCCAAAAGCGGGCAACGAATCGGGCTGCCGGTCACTGGAAAGCTCAATCCCCAAAGCCAAGCGTTTGGCATAGATCCCCACAAATAGGGCATTCTCTTCTTGACTAATGGGACGACGCTCTTTGAAATAATCTATGAGGGTGCCCATCTCGTGCTTTTCGACAAGATTGTCCCTTTGCTGTTTGAGGTCATCAAGTTTCAAATCACCATCTAGCAAATCTGCGGCTATGTCCTTTAGAATGGCCATGGCATCCACACCCACCAGGGCTGGGGGCTTCACCACAATTTGAAGTTTTTGGGAAAACTTCGTGCCCCCCACCTCTTTGAACATCAGAACTGCAATACTCGCCCTTTTGTTTTGGGGTTTTAGCTGAACTTTGACCTCTCCCACGTCACTTGCTGCTTGGACGGTCTGTATCATCTGGCTGAATCTGGGATCAGCTGAGATCACATCCGAAACCACCGCCTCAGGAGCTGCACTTGAACTCTTTGACGGCTTACTCGTCGAGGGCCCCGGTTTCGGGGTTGGCTTGGTAGTCTTGGCCTGCACATCTGCCTCGGCTGGTGCGTGGGCAAGTTGAAGACATGGACTTCATAGTTTGATTTATGTAATCATGGATTTGTAGAGTCGCGCACATTGTGACATTTTCATGTAGTAAAGCCCTATACGTATGTCCTCCAATTCGCGTTCATTTTTTATAGACTACAATGACTGAAAATTTGATAGATGATAAACAGCGACAAGATACCATTGTGATATGGGAAACTTCATGTTGCAATCCATCCGAGAAAATACAGATCGCTGGGGCATCTAAATCAGCCTTGTCATCAAATTTTGGCATAGCAGAGAACTCTGTGGGACCCCTCTGCTTGGGGCCCAAAATCTCCCGACGATAAGCGCAGAAGTTTTCTTCGCTCCACCCCAACTCCCAAGTCTTTGTAGGTTTCTCAGAGCTAGTCTCTCTCCTTGATTCTTTCTCTGGTGGACCATCATCTTTCTTATCCGAATCCTCAGTCTTGGGCGCCTCTACTCCATCAGCTTTCTCAATGGAAGCCTGCGACTGCCCAGTAGAAGACTCTTCCGCCAACCCCAACCCGACTAGTTTCGGTTGAGTTTGCTCCGCACGGCTCTGAGGAAGCGTCTCGTCACCTGCATCATTGCCAGGATTGCCTCAGCATGTGTGTGTGGGGCCTGGCAAATGGTATTTTGGGAGACGTTTGAACGCCTGGGTCACCTATAATTTATCGAATGCCACGCATCTAAATGTGGAAAAGGGACGGTTTCTTGCGCGGTGAAATGGCCAAAATGTAATCAGATATGTGCGCACAGATGTTTTTCAAAATTTGTATTTTGTGCATATGTGACTATGTGTGCACATCTTGAATCTTGAACCTACAAGAGTGTACCATAACATTTACTGAAACACATATATTCTAAATAAAGTGATATACATATATCGTATCTGAATATAGGTCTGTGGGCGCATGTGTCTTTCGAATTTTCTGGCACCACCATCTCAACAAACAACACAAAGTAAACCTGTGATTCCGGATTGGGAAAGAACACCTAAGATGATTGGTTGTTCCCTGGTCGGTCACTGTTAGGGTCAAAACCATAGATACAATTTCCCAGACATAATCACCCACTGGTTTGTAAACAGGGCACTCTGGGAAGCTGAACTTGGTCGCATCACTTCATCATCGACAAAGGACCCAAATGCAAAAGGATCAAAGCCAAAATCCTTGGCCGTGGGTTGGAGGCGGTTAATGGTGAAACTGTCATGCCCCAATAATTGGATAGTCCTACAAACTAGGCATGCTGGACCTTGGGTTCTGAAACGAAAATTATTGGTATTATGTTTTATCTTTTGGATTTGGGAACAAATATTTGGTAATTGCAAATTTTCTGATTGATTAAATATATATATATAAATATATATTGTATCTCTGATAAATATATATATATATATATATCAAAAAGATCTGCAAACAAATAATCAAGGTTCCATCTGGTCGAAGCTTGCAACGATTTCATCATACGTAGGTATCGTAGGTGAACGCGGGGGTGGCTTTGGGGCTGGCGCGGGCTTTGCAGCTGGCTCTGGGGCTGGCTTTGCAGCTGGTTTGGGTTTGGACTTGGCTGCTGTCTTCTTTACTTTACTTGTTTTTGGAGTTGCCACATCGCCCAGGTCCGCTGATGACTGTGATCGCTTGACTGCCGTGAGGCGAGGGCGCTTTGGTTGCTGCACTTTTCCTAATTCTGTTGCATTTTCAATGTTCTTGTGACTGCCGGCTTTCTTAGCTGGAGGGCTTTGTCCATCTAAAGCATCAGAGGACTTACTCCTTTTGATTCCAGCTTGTTGTTTATTTTGCTTGCTTCCTCCTCTTCCTTCCTGCTTGCATTTCGGGGGTGTGAAAGTCT